TAGTCCCCAGGCCTGCTAGTGTTTAACTTTTTGCCTAACAGCAAACACTTGTGAATTTATTATTCCATTTTTAAGGTGATTTTTATTTTGAGCTCATATTTCCTTCTTTTAATGTTTTCCATTTTCAAATGTCTACATAAGGTAGAGATCATTTTTACATGCTATGGAAATAAATCATCTTGTCATGGTATATTGATTTGTGTAAGAATAAACCATGTACTTACTATTGAGCTTTAGAAAAAAACCAACAGAAAACCTCCGAAATATTTAAAATAACTTTTTCAAGGAAAAATGTTCACTATTTTTTATTATGGACAATCATTTTTCAAAACACATAAAAAAAGGGTTAGGACAATTACAGAATAATGTATAGTTTTAGGAATTCCTGACAATTTCCTGGAATTCTGGTTTCTCAGAAATTCCAAAGGTTAATGTCTGTTGGGAATTTGGAAACTTCTTTTGAAATTGTACCTCTCTGTAACATTTCTTAAATGTGCATCTAATCTCATCCCCAAGGCCACTGCTCTCCTTGTGGACATTTGTCATCGCTTTATGACCTTGTGAGGCAGCCTCCAACTCCTGTACTCCATTCCCCTCCACCCCAAACCCTCTCCCAGTCCACACCTGCCCCAGTGTGTCTTAGAATGTGGCCTTGGACTGCCCTGTCAGAATATCTGGGAGTTCTTAATGCTGACGACTTGGGAATGTCGTCCACATGCACTGAAACAGAATCTCTGGGAGTTGAAACCAGGATTCATGGGGTGTTTTTTTTTCTGTACCGGAGATTGAACTTGGATCCTTGCACTTGCGAGTCAGATGGCAGAACCACTGAGCTAAATCCCCGGCCTGAAACCAGATTCTTTAAAAAAAATTTTAACATACTTTTTATGGTTAAATACAACACAAACACAGAAAATCAGAAAAACCACGTGTCTGCACAGGTTAACAAACCAGCGTAAGGCAAAGATCCCTATAACCATGACCCGTCATGCTCCCCCCCACCCCCATTATCACCCCTATGCCTTCACTCCAAAAGCAACAACCATCCTGACCTCTGGTTTGTCTGTATTTTATTTCCATGGTTTTGCTTTTGTATGGTTTCAGATGCCTGTTTTTTGACATGTCCTCAAATCTTATTTAACCTTTGCTTTCCTTCCATTCTCTCTCTCTCTCTCTCTCTCTCTCTCTCTCTCTGTTTTTGTGGTACTGAGGATGAAACTCAGCGGTGCTTTACCACTGAGCTACATCCCCAGCCCCTTGTTTTATTTTTTATTTTGAGATAGGATCTCATTAAGTTGTCCAGGCCAGGCTTAAACTTGCAGACCTCTGGATTCAGCCTCCCAAAGTTCTGGGATAGTAGGCATGCACCTCCACACCCAGATCCATCTTTTTTTTTTTTCCTATAATTCATTTTTTACTGAAACCAGATCATTTGTCTGAAAGGATTTCCCATAGTCACTGCCAAGTGCACCCCCACATTGTAGACGACATGTTCCCCTCTCTGAATTTCCTGTGTATTGCTGCGTAATTAGATCTAGGGGCTCAATCAGATTTATTTTGTTTTTTTGATAACCCTACTTTTACAGGTGATGGGTATTCAGCGTCAGGAGACCTCCAGTACTGTGTTCTCTTTCTCATCTCGTACACGCCTTGCCCCAGACCTGAAATCAGTCCAGACATCTTGGGTAAATATCAAAAGTGGAATTTCTAGTTCAGAAGGTAGATAAATGTTTAACTTTCTGAGACTCTGTTAAACAGTTTCCTGGGGTGGTGTACTTAACACTCCCACTAGCAATGTACGAATGTTCCACTTGCTCCAAATTTAGTACTGTTAATCTTTTTCTTAATTTTGGCCATTTTAGTGATATGAAATGCTATTTCATTGTGGTTTTAATTTCAAGTTAATTTGAAGTTTCCTAAAAACGAATGGTGCTGAATGCCTTCTCAAGTACTTATTGGTCATCTGTAGATTTTCTTTTGTGAGATGTCTGTTCATGTCTGGTTTCAGTGACCTATCTCAGAGGAATCCCCCACTGTAAGAGTTAGCAGCTGAAGACACAGCCTTTCCTAGGTTCTTTATCTGTGGTCTGACCAGGGCTTAGCTGGGCAGTGGTTTTTCTCCCTTCATGTTGACTGTAGACATCTGGAGGCTCAACAGAGGCTGAGAAGCAAAGACAGCTTCTTACACATGTTGGGCGCCTTGGCTGGAATGGCTGAAAAGCTGGAGCTGGCCAGGTAGCTCTCTCTCTGTGATCCTCCATCAAAGTAGCCAGATCCCTTTATGTGGAGGCTCAGGGGTCCAAGATGAGCGTTAAAAGAAGACATAACTGAAAGTGAAGGGGTTTATCTTCTTGCATCATGGTAGCTAACACCCCCTGGGCAGGCCTACAGAAATCATATGTCCAAGCCCAGATTCAGCTGGGAAAGGCTCACATGAGGGCATGAATAGAAGGGGGTACAGTTCACTGGGGTTATCTACCTAAATAACAGACATTCTCTAAAGATTCATGAAGCATAATTGGGAACAGAATAACACTGCACAGGGAATATATATATACCATAGTAAACCATGAACAAATTTGAGGAAGCTGAAGCAAGGGGAAGTTTTTAAAGACAAAATGAAGAGGACTGTATAATATTTTGAAAAGCCAGATGTGCTTGTGCCTATAATCCCTGCACTCTGGGATGTTCAGGCAGGAAGCTGCAAGCTCAAGCCCGTCCTGGGCAAGGTAGTAACTTAGTGAGAGACTTTGCCTCAAAATTTATAAGCAAGGAGGTGGGCAGCTGGGATGCAGCTCAATGCAAAGGCCCTGGGTTCTGTCCCCAGCACCACCAAACAAAACAAGCAAACCAATAATCCTTGGCCACAGGGATTAATAATAAAGGTGGCATCAGTGCAAGGGTGAATAGGTAGTTGCTGGACAGGTGTCCTCGCCAGAGTATTTTCTGTGTATGGCTGTGCTGGCCCCTGTGTCAGGTTGTGGCTCTGATAGACTCTTTTGTGAGTTACTTTTGGGTCATTGTCCATGAGAACCTTTCTTTACAACCACTCAGCTTCATTTATCTATTTTGGTTGTTGTTATTAAGGATGGCATAAACAACTCTGTTTTGATTCTGACAACTTCCACAAGGGCCTTCACAAAAGTCTACCACAAGTCTTTGTTTCTAGTTGGTCTTTTCATATGAGTTAGTTCTTTATATGATCTCAGTATAAGCCCTTTGTTAGATACAAGTACTGTGAATATTTTTCCAAGTCTATATCTTGCCTACTCATTTCCTCTAAAGGTACCTCTTGAGGGAATGCTTTTTAAAAAAAAATTTGGTGAAGTCTAATTTGTGATTTGTTTCTTTCATACATATTGCTTTTTGGGCTCTAAAAAACCTTTTGCCAACCCCAAAGTCATAAAGATATTTTTTATATTTTCATGTAGAATTTTCATGGTTCTGATTTTCTCATTTGGGTTAATCATCTATGGAAAATTAAATTTTATTTAAGGGTAGCACCACTCCCAGTGCAGAGGAGGTGAGCCACACAGGTGCCAGCAGCACACAGACAACTGCACTCCCCTCCAGTCGAAATGAGAAGACACATAAACAAGTCTCAAAAAAGGACCTCCAGATCACCTACAGCAACCCCAAAGGGAAATGAGATGGAACACTCTGATACTCAGCCACCTGGACTTCCTGAACTGGCAACAAAAGAGGATCTGGAAAAAATGAAATCAGAAATAATTGCTCAGATAACAGCAGAGATTGTGCCCATAGTGCAAGACATGATTAATAAATCTAGAGAGAAGTTGAGGAACATGATGGAATCCCAACATAGGAAACAAATTGAATCCATAAAACAGATGCAAACAGATTTCCAGGAGATCAAAAACTGAAAGTCTACACAGCCGAATAAGTCAATGTGGGAACAGAATTTCAGATATAGAAGATAAGATTGTAATTAGTGACCAGGAAAAGAAAAATTGCTTTAAAATTATAAGGGGCCATGGGAAATCAATCCAGCAGCTGCTAGACGATGCAAAGAAGAATAACATAAGACTCATTGGAGTCAATGAAGAAACAGGAGAGAGTGGAGATGACATAAAAAGAACCTGTTCACAGAAGTAATGGCAGAAAACTTCCCAAGTAGGGGAAAAGAACTTGACATACAGATAAATCAGGCATATAGGACTCCAGATAGCCTTGATCAAAAGAAATCTACACATAGGCATATAATTGTTAAGATTCCAGAAACCCAACAGAAGAACAAAGTTCTACAAGCAGTTAGGGAAAAGAAACAAATCACATACAAAGGAAAGCCCATCAGAATCACAGCAGACTTCTCAACACAAACCCTCAAAGCAAGAAGAGCTTGGAGTGACATATTCCAAGCCCTAAAGGAAAACAGCCTCCATCCCAGATTGATGTACCCTGCAAAACTATCTTTCAAAATTGATGGAGAAATGAGATACTTTCATGACAAAGAGCACCTTAGGAACTTCATGAATACCAAACAGGCACCTCAAAAACTTTTAGACAATATCCTAGAATTTATTAGTAAAACCATTTGAGCTGACCTAGAGTTAATTGTTGATAGAACTTTTAAAATTTTCAAATTCAATTTCTTTCTTTTCTTTTTTTCTTTCTTTCTTTTTGTTGTTGTTGAGACAGGTCTGTCAGGCTGGCCTCAAACTTGTTATGTAGCCCAGTGTTATTGGTTATATCTAGATATCCCTCTCCAAAGCCTCATGTGCTCATAGAGTGTGATGTTTGGCAGTGACTGGATCATGGGCGTGTGATACTGCACTAATCCACTGATTGGTTTAGCATAGTCTTATGTCTGGATGATGGATTTACTGAAGAGGGAAGAACCATCTGGTTATGGGTGGCACCAACCAATAAGCTTATAGCCTGGATGGAGTAAAAAGGGAAAGAAGGAAGGCTCACTGCTTCCTGCCTGCCATGCCATGGACTGTTTCTTCCTTGCCATGCCCCTCTACCCTGCTGCCCTGCCTTGGAGCCAGATAACTATGGACTGAAACCTTTACAAACTGTGACCTAAAATAAAACTTTCCTTGTTTAACTTGTGGGAATGAATTCTCTTGCAATATCAGTGCTCAGCCTACCTCGCTCCTTTGAAGATAATCTGTCTTTTTTCCTGGGAGATTTTAAGATTTTCTCTTTGTCCCTGGTATTCTGCTGTTTCACCATGATATGTCTAGGTGAAAAAAATTTTTAAATTAACATTTTATTTTTTATAGTGGTTTTAAGTTCAGTGCATGGCCCATTATAGCACCATGCACCATAGTCTCACAGCCCTAAGGGTTCCCTGAGCTCACCCATTCATGTTCCTTCCCCTAAGCCCCTGGCAACCCCTAGAAATTTTTTGTCTCTATGGTTTCACCTTTTCCAGAATGCAACATAGTCGGAATCACATAGCATGTAGCTTTTTCTGAGCCTATTTTTTTAAATGTACCTAGGTTAGGATTTGTTTGGCCTTATACTCTGTAGATCAATGTTTAATCAGACCTCGGAATTTTTCAGCCATTGGTCCTTCAAATATCATTTCTTCCCCATTCTCTCTTATCTCTTTGTAAGTTTCAGTCAAAGAAGTGATAAATGTTGATTACCATTGATTCTCCATGTCTTTTACCATTTCTTCTGTATTTCTTAACTCTACCATCTCGTCATGCTCATTCTGGATCATTTTTTCTGACTTTCCTTCCAACTTGCCAATTCTCTTTTTGTCTATGGGCAGGTTTAAACTTGTGTTTTAGCTTTTAAATTTTAATTACTGTATTATTCAATCCTAGAAGTTCAAGTTTGTCTTTTTTCAAGTCTACAGTCACTTTTTATAGTTCCGGTTTCAAGCTAATCTCTTGTTTAAGCATATCTGTTGTATATTCTATGTAAAAACAATTCCGGTGTTTAAATTCTTTATGCTCTTTGTTGTCTCCTGTTTCTTCTGGTTCTTGTCATGGGGTTTCGTTTCCTCATGTGTTTGATTATCTTTCACCATGTGCTTGAGATTTTATTTGCGTGACTAATGTGGAATCTAGGCTGAGGGAGCCTTCCTCAGAAGATTTCCAGTTGCTTCTTTCAGGATTCCCAAGGCATAAATGATCTCGGGTCACCTCATTGAAAGTTCAAGGTTTGAGATTACAGACCATCCCAGGGGACACAAGATATGGCTGCAAGTCCATGCTGGGGCTGGTTTACTTCTGAGGGTGAGGCTCTTCTGGATCCCAGCTTATTGTGGGGAGGGTCTTCTACTTGACTCTCTGCCTTGTACTGTGGACTTTACTTGTGCTCTTTGCCTGCAGAAGTCTTGAAAACAACAGTTGATCCTAGTCAGAATCAGGAAATGTCCCTAGAGCACAAATTTCCTGCTTGGTTTATCTAAGTTACTGTTTTTCCATTTTTTTCTGATAACTCCTTACCCCGGTTATACCAGTATCCCAGCATTTTGTATTGTTTTCAGTAGAATTGTTCTACAAGCCTACAAGATGCCAGATTCCACTTTACAGGGTCAGAAACTATGCCTGTAATCCCAGCTGTGCGGGAGGCTGAGGCAGGAGGATGCAATTGCAAGTCTAAGGCAGACCTGAGAAACTTAGTGAAACCTTGTCTCATAGTAAAATAAAAAGGGCTGAAGATGTAGCTCAGTGGTAAAGCACTTGCTTAGCACGTGTGAGGCCCTGAGTTCAATTCCAGTAATGCACCCCCCAATAGGTGAGGCCACTTGTCTAGGGTTTTACAACCAGTAAGAAATAGAACCAGGCTGTAAACGGAGGGCTGTCTTACACTAAATCTGGTCTTTTCTTCTCCATTTCCTGGCAGTACTCCCTTGAGACTTGCTTTCTCCATCTGTAATAAAGAAGAAAGACCAGATGTGGGCCTCCAAGAGCCCACTGAGATCAGACATTCTCACACCGGGACTTCATCGTTTTTGTTTCCTGAGACCCACACAACCTCTGCCTTACCTTTGGTTCAGGGACTCGCTCTGAGTCCTGACATGGGTGACAAGTCACAGAGAATTCCTAGATCACCACAAGGGGGCAGTGGTACCTAGATTCTGCGATGCCGGCACAGCCAAGAGTTTCCAGCTGCTTTTCTCTGTCAAGAGTAAACAGAACATGATTTAGCTTAAGAGTCAAGGTCTCATTTTCCCTCTGCTTCATTTCATTCTGTCAAACTCTGGCTGATGTCTCCTCTGGCACAGAGGAGGGGTACAGAAATAGGGCAAACCCTGCTTTTACCCTTGAGGACTTGTGTTCCATTCAACCTTCTGTAGTCTGGGTTCTGGTTGGTCTCCCCACTTCCTTGCCTCCACCCCCCATCCCGAAATGCCTCCTATTCCCCAACACTGCTTTTACATCCTTCCTTCTTTTTCTTAGGGCTCAGCTCTTCCCTGGAGCCTCCCAAATCCCTTGCCTGAACCCCCTCCCTCTGCTGTGCTACCAGTATGGTTCTTCCCTCAGCTGGCCGTGTGCTTGCCTGCCCTTCCTGACTGGACGCCCCTCAGGCAGAGTGGGGTCCCCCCAACTCTGGGCACCCGTGTAATGAGAGCTGGAGGAAGGGAAGGTGGCGCTGACAGGGCTGGAGGAGGCCGGCAGCAGCAACCAGAGGGTGCCACCAGCGCAGCTCCTTCCTCCCCCATAAACTCCAAACCTCTTGGGGTCCAGCTTTGCACTCCCTGCAGAGAAAATGGTAAAAGAAACTTCCAGCTCCAAGAACTGGTGAATAAAAAGAACCACAAAAGCACTAGAAGAAAACATGAGTTTCTGATTACTTTCTGAGTTGGAAAGAACTTGCTAGTCCTAAAAACGAGAAGCCACAAAGAAAGATAAATAGAATGGCTCTTATGCTTTTGAAGAAATGATCAGCCCTACTTGTAAGAAGGTAGTCACAAATTTAAAATACACCGGCATTCCATTTTTTTCCTATCAGATTGGCAGAAATCCAACATCTTGGTAACATTCTCTAAGCAGCACAAGGAGAAGCAGACATGTGTGTCACTACTGGCAAGGAGCTCTTTGTGCGCCTCCTATGGGGGACAAGATGGCAATATCTATCAAAATTGCAAAGACATCTGTGACAAGCAGACTTCTGGGGTGCTCCCCCGACCTGTGTGTGTGTGGAACTTGAGAATATGATGAAACTGTGAACTCTGTGATTAGATTCCATTTGTGCCAGGAGAAAGCTTGCAGATGTAAGATCCCAAATTGGTTGACCTTAGGGTTGTATGATTACTCTAGGTAGGCTGAACCTGATCAGTGAATCTTAAAAGTGTTGAGTTTTTCCAGGTAGAAGCCAGAGATTTGAAATATGAGAAAAGTTCATCAGAGCGGGGTAAGGTGGCACACACCTATAATCCCAGCACACTGAGAGGCTAAAGCAGGATGATCGAACTTTTGAGCCAAGCCTGGGCAATTTAGTAACTTAGTGAGACCCTGTCTCAAAATTTAAAATATAAAAGGAAGGGGGTTGGGGATGTAGCTCAATGTGAAGGCCCTGGGTTCCATACCCAATATTGCCACCAAAAAAGAGAAAGAAAGAAGAAGAAAGAACCATCATGCTATTTCTGGATTAAAGTTGGAAGGAGCTGCAGAACAAGGATGTGGGTGAGCTCTGGTTGCTGAGGGAGGCCCCAGGCTGATAGCCAGGAAGACAGGAAGATTTCAGGTTCACAACCCCAGAAACCAAATTCTGTCAATAAGAATGAATTTGTAGCTGGTAGGGTGGTGCATACCTATGATCCCAGGATTCTGGGAGGCTGAGGCAGGAGGATTACCAAAGTAGAGCCCAGCCTGGGCAACTTTGCGATTTAGTGAGACTTTGTATTTAAAAAATTTTTTTAAATGATGAGGCTGTAGTTAACAGTGTGAAAACTCTGGGTTCGATCCCCAGTACACACACACACACACACACACACACACACAGGCACACGCACAAAGAGCTTGGAAAAAGATTTCCCATATTGCCTTCAAATGAGAACTAAGCCTTGCCCACACCTCAGTTTTTCAGGACTAGTCCCACCATGCCAGTGTGAGCTGTAGACTGTGAGTTAATCATTGGGTATTGTTTTAAGCTGCTTAGGTTCTGGTACTCTGTTATGTGGCAATGAAAAACTAATATACTTTCAATCCACTTTTAGGAATTTGTCCTGTGATAAATGTTATGTATGCACATGTATGAAATGGTGCAAGTACGTGATTGTTCATTGCAATATCACTGTGATACTAAAATGAAACAAGGCAAAAAAGTCCCTAGGGCTAGTGTTGTATATCAGAGGTAGGAGTGCATACTAAGCATGCTCAGGCCCCACATTCTAACCTAGCACCATAGAAACAACAATGGGAATAAATAGAAACATCTGGCTAAATGAATTTTTTAAACCTGTATATAAGATGTTATGTGGTGATCTAAAAGAACCAGGAAACTCTCCAAGGACTTATGAAAATCTCTAAGATGTGTGACAAGTTTTTTAAAAAGGGGGTACAGCACGGTGTAGTTAGCTTTTATGTAAAAAGCAGTATTAAGAATATATAATCATTCCATACTTGCATAAAGAAACTCTGCAAGAGTTCTGGAGATGATAATAAAAATTGCCCTATAGCAGATGAAAACAAGGAGTCAGAAGAGGCAGCGAGGCAGAGAGTAAGAGGGAGAATCTTTACTGTTGTTTTACGAATGTATATTTTTGGACCCTAAGAACATATCAATGGATTAAAAGTCAAATAAAAATGGTTGCTTTTGGGCGGGGATGTAGCTCAGTGGTTCTGCCACCTGCCTCAAAAGCAAAAGTCCTGAGTTCGATCTCTGGTACCAAACAAACAAACTAGTGAAGCACTGTTCTCCAGGCTTCTTTCTGGCCAGAGCCTGCTCCCCTGCCTTGGGTGGGAAGGTTGATTTGTCCACACAGCCCTTTGACCTCCGGCCTTTGACCCTTCTGCCCTAGGAGTTCTAGAGAGAAGGATTCAAATAGCTGTGTCTGGTCAAGTCTTACCTCTGAGACTCACTTCCCGTCTCTGAAATGTGCACATTAATGTCTCACAGGGTCTTAGGGGAGGAATAAAAGGTGCCCAGGGTGCAGGAAAGATGGTTCCATGCAGAGGGACAGAGGAACACTGTCAAACACGTGGTAGATGGACAGTAGATGACAATGACAGCTCCCTGTGCCTCCTGCCCCTGTGACTGTGGTCCCATCCTCCAGCCTCTAGGATTCTGTTCCTCCAGCTGCAGATGAGAGGGTCGGACTGAATGAGTCCTTGGATTTACAGAAGCATAAAGGCCTTGGTGGCCACAGAGGACATTTTCTCACTTTAGATATGGTTCTTGAGGCCCAGGCGGGGTGGTGACTCATTCAAGGTCATACCACAACATGTCACAAGCAGAGCCAGGGCTGGCACTGAGGGCCGACTCGAAGCCAGGCCCTTGACCTGCCCGTCTCTCTGCCAATGCACATCTGTATTCAAGCAACCATGCTGTGACGGTGACACAGGGGAGATGCTTTGCCCCGACGTCCTCCTGGAGGACGTCCCCCTGGACAGAAGGGCTCCTGCTCCCAGCTAGGTTTCACCTGGCCCCTCTGAAGCATCTGCCCTACTAGTGTGTGTGTGGGGGGGAGGAATGTGTCACTGGTGTGTTGTGGGGGACAGAGGGTGGAGCCAGTGAGGTGCTAGGACCTCCACAGCCCGGTGGGTCTCACCTGCAGCTCCCCACCTGCTTCCCTGCCTGGAGAGAGTCACTGCCCCTCCCTGTACCACACAGGGGTCTTGGGGGTGGGCTCTGACCACTTCTAGATGCTCCGTGCTCTGACTACACCTCATAATTACCCTGGATTTCACAAGATCTGCAGGATCCCAGATGCACTCATCCTGTCTCCTGTTTAATTAGTGTGGAGCCGGATTCAGGTATCTATCAGAGTCGTGTGCTGGCGGAGGAATTTAAGTGTTTCTCCAAGCAGCAATCACACAGCCAGTACCGTTCCCAAAAGGGAAATGTGTCTGTCTACGTCCCCTCCGCGGCTCTCTGCTTGCACAGGCTCCTGGGAGACCCGGGCTGTTTGCTGCTGCTCAAGCTGATGGGCACAGAGCATAGAGAGACCGTGTGGGTGCAAGCGGGCATGCGCAGATTCCAGACTGACTGCTCTAATCCTATTTTGACTGGCTTAATCTGGTTTTAGTGCAGGTAGACTTCAGAGGGCTATACTCATTCACGCTCATTTCGGCTGGTTTTCACTGGTGGGCTCAGTTGGAACACATTTGTGTTTGTGTCTGTTTGGATTTGGGTAGTTTTAATAATGGCAGATACTTATTTTGTACATCTGCGATGTTGGTATTGTCCATTCCAGACACCCTGAGACTATAAATTCATACAATCCTCACAACTGCCTTGCAAGGGGGGGCTATTCGTTTTACACATGGAGAAAGTGAGGCAGGGAGTGTTTGAGAAATGTGCCCTGGGTTGTGCTGTTGCTAAGTGGATTTAAACCCGCTTCACCTGGCTCTGGAGTCCGCTCTCCTAACCTGCATGAGGTTCCATCACTGCAGGGTGAGCGTTTGAACCGCTTCGAAATGACTGGACACCATCTGAGTCAATTTGCTCTGCCCCTGCCCACATGAGCTGCTCTGTGCTGGGTCCATCTGCACTTGGCTGTGATTTTGGTACATTGCAGTGGACAGGAGGGATCGCAGGCCTTGTGCATCCCTGAAACAGGAGATTACTGAGTTAGTTTCCTAGGGATGTGGTAACAAACTGCCACCAACTTGGCTGCTTAACACAGCCAACACGTGTTTGCTCATAGTTAACGCGAGGCCAGCAGTCCCGAGCCTGGGTGTCGGCAGGGATGCGCTCTTCTCCCGGCTCTGGGTGAAAATCCATTCCTTTCCTCCTCCAGCTCCTGGTGCCTCTGGGTGTTCTTTGACTTGAGGATGCAGAACTTGCAGCCTCTGGCTCTGTGGCCGCATTGCCAGCTCCTCTTCCATCTGTGTCCTCTGTGGGTGTCTCACTGAACACTTGTCAGTGAACTCAGGGCCTAGTCAGATAATGCAGGATGGTCTCCTCATTTCCAAAGCCTTAAATACCTCTTCAAGGACTCTTTTCTCCAAATA